CATTACCACCACCCCCTACCCCCATATCACCTTTAAGCTCAGAGACCATTGAGGAAAGGTGACTGGAAACACTGTAAGAGCCACAGGTTGGGGTGGACCAGAAAGGAATCCATCTTTTGGGTATGACAAGACTTCTGCACTCTTGAGCTCACTGCAGCTCCAGTTCCTGCTTATGATCAAGTCTGTTGACACCCAGCATGGAGTGGGAAGTGACTCTCGGGCCGCCCATCCCTCACTGAGGAACCATTGACAGCTGGTGGCTTCTGGGAGAATGTAAGCCAGGTTTCTATAAGAGTGACTCCTGGTCGGTGTGAATGCACACTCATAAACACATGCACACACAGCACAAAATAGAACCAGTGAGCTATAAAAAGGGGGGCCATGAAATAGGGAGGGAGTAGGGAAGATTGATTGTAAAGGAATAGGCCCCTAAATTTACCTCCGCCACCATACTTGAAATGCACGTACCTTGAAAATGCCTAGCAAGGTGGTGGTAGGAGACACCTCAAATCCCAGCACCAGGGAGACAGAGACAGATGAATCTCTTGTGAGTTCAAGGCCAAGCTGATCTACAGAACAAGTTCCAGGACAGCCAGGGCTACACTGAGAAACTCTGTCTCCAACACCCCACACAACCTGCAAAAAGAAAGAAAATGCCTAATGCTGGAAACTGGGTGTCTAACACACATTTTTAATCCAAGCATTCAGAAGGCAGAAGGATCCCTGTGAGTTCAAGACCAGCCTGGTCTCTCTCTACATACTGAGTTCCAGGGTAGCCAGAGCTACACAGTGGGACTCAGCTTCAAAAAAAGAAAAAGAGAAAAAGAAAAAGGAAGAAAGGAAGGAAGAGGAAGAGAGGGAAGAGAGAGAAGGAGAGACTTTTAATCTAAAAAAAAAGAAAAAGAGCCAAATGTGTGGCCCTCACCTTTAATCCCAGCACTCTGAGGCAGAGTCCAGTGGCTGTAAGGTAGAGGCAAATGTGGTCTACAGAGTCAAGTTCGGAGCTCTCTAGGGGACAGCCAGGACACATAGAAAGACCCTATTTCAAAAATCAAAGGAAAGTTAAAAATCAAAAGAACTTCAGATCTACTAAAGGAACTGTAAACAAGACAGCAGCTGTAGAGATTAGACAGAAGGGCCTTCTAGTGGGAGCATTTGGCCTTGAAACCTTTATCTACAGATAACAACTCTGCTAGGTACACTGCAGTTCCATGGACAGCTGCCCACTTGCCGTGCTCCCTGGCCAGATCCCTGCTGAGGCCCCACACTTCTGAAGCTGGAAGCCACAGCTAGGGTGGTGGACAAGGTCTGCACTCCACACATTTGCACAGCGCTGCCACTCCTTAGAGCATGCCAGGCCCTTTTCTGAATATGGGTACAATGATCCCAGGTGGCCAGGCTTCCCAGGGCCCTGGGCCTGGTCTGGAGGGAACTACAAACCTTATGAGGAAGGACACTATCTTGACCCAGGAATGGAGGGAAGGCCTGAACTAAGCGCCACTCACACCCTCATTAAGATTCCAAGGCTAGAGGTTAACAACAGCATGGTACCCTTGTCTTGCTACTTCATGATCTGGACAAATATTGAGTGTTTCCTAGTGAGTTCTGGGCCCTCCAAGGACTTCACATTCACATGAACGGTTTAGAAATGGGAAAGAGGGAAGCTGTACACATAAAACTGAGGCCTGAGCTTAGGGCAAGGGGAACAACTTTTCTTTCAATCCTTACTTCAAATAGACTCTCCTCAGGTAGTCTAAGTTTCTCTGGTACCTGCCTTTTGTTTTTTGCATGTTCGTTTTTAGAGAAATTACTTTGGCTGGGAGGTGGTAGCACACACCTTTAACTTCAGCACTCAGGTGGCAGAGGCAGGAAGATCTCTGTGAGTTTGAGGCCTGCCAAGGACCAACCTCAGCTTGGAGAGGGGTTCTTGAGAGAAGGGGTGTTTAAAAGTGGCCAAAGAATAACTCAAAGTCAATCGTGGGGTACAAGCTGACAGCCTTTGTTCTGCTCCAGACAGCTTTCTGTAGACCTTCAGACAGCTCAGCTCTCACAGACCAAAGACCAGTCTTTATTTATATACCAGTTCAATTGTCCACCTCAGGTTCACTTTTGACTATCCCACCAGTCAGCATTTTTTGACCTTATCCCCTTGACCCCTAGGAAAGGACAGCAAGTACATTTGTCTTAAAATTGCAAATGAATTCAGAGATCTGCCTGCCTTTTTAAGCACAGACAATAAGCTAGCTGGGTGGGATCCAGCTCTGAGGTCAGCACACCTGCCTCAATTTACTCTGTCCCAGGCTGACCTTGAACTCAGGAATCTGCCTGCCTTTGTATCTTTCTGACAAGCTGGCTCACAGTGCATTTGCCTCTGTTCTTTTAGGTCTGTGAAACCCCTCATATAATTCATATCACATCCTTATATTTTGCACAGTTGAGAAATTATATATTTTTTGAGCTCATGCTTTCAGAGTTTTTTTCCCACAGCCTTAGGGCTGTCCTGAAGCTCACAGTATTAGCATTTTTTGCTAAGACATAGATACACCCTCACCTCCCAGACTCATGCTGTCTCTTATTATCATGGAGTCATTAACTTTGGTAGAGAGGACATTCCCCCAGTAACCTTAGCAAGGAGACTATTTCTCCAAAGAGCAACATGAAGTAAAAAATATATTTTTTATACAAACAAGCTTCACACCAACAACCATCAATACTCATGGAGGTCATGTTATGCTGACTCTGCTCCAGGGGCAGGAAACCATGTCTCACTGTTCCTTCCTAGGCCATGCAGGACTCAGCAGAGCCAGCCTGATCTACAGCGTTCCAGGACAGCCAAGACTACACAGAGAAACCCTGTCTTGAAAAACTAAGGGGAAAAAAACAAAACAAGAAAGGAAAGAAGCGAAGAAGGAAGGGAGGGAGGGAAGGAGAGAGGGAGGAAGGGAGAGAGGAACTTTGGAGTATGTCTAAATGTTTTTGGACACTGTACACTCGTTCTTTGCCCCTAAGGTCCTACACAAGCCACCTGAAAGTGGAACTCTACTCTCAAATGGTCATCTATTCAGACTTTGCCCCTGCTGTTATTTCTCTCTCCACCCTGCTCACTGCCCTCCTCACCCTCAGCAGTCACCTCAGAAACTGGCACCTGGCTTTATCTAGGGCTTAGCTTCTCCACAGATGTTCGTTTTCCCACATTCCTTGAAACCAGGTCACCTGCCACCCTGCTCCCCAAGGCCACATCTGAGGTTAAGGCCTGGCTCTGCCCTCACCCACCTTCCTCTGTTGTTCTCTCAACCCATTGGATACTCTGTGGGTTGACAACATTTCCAGAGATCCTCCCCCTAGAGCATTGCAGCCAGGCTGGACAGCAGAATATCCTGACACCAGAAATCCTCGAGTACATCCCAAACTCCTGGCCCACTGACATCTCAGCAGGGCCTAAGCCATTTACCTCTCTACTTCTCTGGTTACCAGTGCCTGTGGCCTCATCTGTCCCTTGGGTCCCACAGTCTAGTACTTCAACCATTTGTCCACCTTCTTCAGCTCACCTTATATCTTCCTGACTACTCCCCTCCCTGATGCATCCAATATGCTTTCCCTGAGCAGACCCCACACTGGAGGAAACAGCCAGGAGACTGGGGCCTCCAGGTCAAGAGCCATCCACCTCAGCAATGCCAACCCCTGTCCTAGTACTATGGTAGCCACCACTGGGCACACAGACTACCCTGCCTAATCCTAATCTTTGCTTTTCCTTAGCTATACTTTCTTACTTCTCTGTGGGCAGAAACGTCAAACTTTTTTAAACATCCTAGTCTCCTTCATTGAAATGGGCACACTGGAGCAAGCATGGTGCCCATGACTTTAATTCCAGCACTTGGTAGGCAGCGGCAGGGTGGATCTCTGTGAGGTTCAGGCTAGCCTTGTCTACATAGCCAGTTGCAGAATTACATAGCAAGAGGCTGTCTCAAAAAAATAAATACAAAAGAAAGAGAAGGACATATGGGGTCCATTTCTCCACCTCTTCCTGACCAGTTCCTGGCAGTCTACACTCTGCCTCCTGACTCATTGCCCTATAGCCATAGGGCTCCTGACTCATTGGAGCTGGTGGACACCACCCAGTGTTAACCGTGACAGAGCTACCCCATTCCCCCCTGTGACCATCATTCTCTTGGCCATCTCCTCCCATGATCCTCATGATTTTGTAGGACCTCTAAATGCCCTTTGCTCTCTAACCTTTTTCAAATGGTGTCTTACAAATCTAAACCAGGTTCATCCAACTGCCCGCCTGCTCAAGGTCTCTTTGTTTAGTTCGGTCTGAGACAAGCTCTGTGTATCCCTAGCTTCCCTGAAACTCTATGTAGACTAGGCTGGCCTAGACCTTACAGGCTCCTGTCCACACTCGGTCTTTTGGAACTCTGGTTCAAATGGGGCTTCTTCAGTGCTAGGCAAGTGCTCCTATTTAGCAGCACCCAAACTCTAACCCTGCTCAGTGTCTACAAGCACAAACTGAATTACTTTCCCTTCAACCCACTTCCAGTGTCCCCTAGTCTCAACGAATGGCAGCCCCCATCTTGTCCCAGGCCTATCAGGACCCATCATGTAAGATCATTATTTGTGGGCTGGATAGTGATTTTGGAGCCAGCAGGAAAGCCCGGCTCGCAGCGCTCCAAACCGTCACTGCGCGATCTGGCTTCACTGGCCGCGAGTCCGATACGGGACAGAACGCAATGAAAGAACAACCGGCACAGTGAACACCTCAGCACGAAGCCCCACGCTGCGCACGCCTACCCGCCGACGAAGACCGCACAGAGCCCCGCCCCGTCGCGCGGTACTCCCAGCAGCCAATGGAAACAGCTGGTAGGCCGTCACTCAAACTATAGCCCGCGCATATGGGCGGGCCCCTCTAGCCTCCGCCCACCCGCGAGCCACTTCTGTTAACCTTCTCGACCAATAGGCATGGTCTGCGTGAGCAGGGGGCGGGGCAGCGCGACCCACAGCGCGGGAGCCCAGCTTCTAACCACGTCGCAGGCGCCTATCGCAGGCTTGTCGGTCGTGTCTCAACTGACCGGAGGTAACATGGGGGCCCTGGCAGCCAGGCGCTGCGTCGAGTGGCTGCTGGGCCTCTACTTCGTCTCGCATATCCCCATCACGCTGTTCATCGACCTGCAGGCGGTACTACCGCCAGAACTCTACCCTCAGGAGGTGAGGCTCAGGGGTCCCCTCGTGACCGTCCCGATTTCTGTTGGCTCCGTGTCTGACTTCGGCTCCAGCCTGCTGTCCCAAGCCGTTGACCACCGCTTTGTTCTTTTCAGAGCGGAACTGAGGGTGGCAACCCAATGGTAGGGCGCATGCCTAGGAGGTCCTGGGTTCGAGCCCCATGTACTCACCAAACCTTTGCAAACCCTTTGCCTGGGTGTGTTTTACTCCCATGGTTTCACCTAAGACAGGTAGCTGAGGGAAGTTGCCTGGGTGAACCAGTGTCTGTCACTTGTTGGATCTTGTGTTTGGATGGGCTCTAAAAGGCCATTGTAATCCCGGGGGTGGGGGGAAGCCCGCGTAGAATAAAGTGACGGAAGGGCTAATTAGCCTTGATTAAGTGCTGCGTGGCATTCATACACTCCTTCTGGGTCTGGATCTAGCTTGAGGAGCAGTTGAGGAAATGCTGCCTTTTCAAGTCTGTTGTTTGAATTGAGTTTGAAAATGAGCTACTGTTCCCTGCGCATTGGAGTATTCTTTGACCCAAACTGGAGGAACCGCCCCACTTTACCTGGATCTGTAAACTTCCATAGAATTTCTGCATGCTTCTCCAGTCGACTGACATATCCACCTAAAGATTTGATTTTATCTCTGACATGCTCTTTAAATGTTTCTTCTTTGCAGGGCAGTTCTTTAATCTTAAATCTGTAAATTCTCAATGGTATCTGCAAAATGACATGTGCCTTGTGTCCTCTGAGAGGACATGACACTGGAAGAGTCACCTACCCAACAAAGTTAGTGGTGACACCATCAGCAATGTCATCCCCGCTCCCTTAAGTCTCTTTTTAGTTTGTTTGTGGAACCACGTAATTTCGAAGACCTTTGATCTATGGGGAAAGCCGTAGGTAATATGTGGCAAGAGCACTTGTCTGTGGAGTTGCTTTCCCAAGAACTGGCTGCCTATCTGGGCATGTTGAGGGCCCTATGAATTCTACTTTTTTCCCCTTAAAGTTCATTTGAGTCCATTACAAGAGGACCTCAGGCTGGGCCATAACTGACATACCACCTGTATGTAGCCACAGCTTAAGATTGTAACTCAAAGACTGTAGGAATAAGGTTATGGCTCCTTGGTAAAAACATATGTCAGCATGCATGAGGCCCTGGATTCAAATCCCAGAACAAAAAGCAATGTGTTAAGTGTGTATCAAGTTGTGTTGATTTGTTAACACAACAAAACCTCTAGATTTTCCACTGTAAGATAAACACACTGAAGCTGCCTTTATCCACCATATCCTAAATTTAGTTGGCTTTGAAGGTGTTAAGAGTGCCACCTCTAGGCTATTTTTTGTGATGTTCATTTATTTTGTTTTAGGACAAGATTTCATGTAGCCCAGGTTAGCCTTAGACCAAGTATGTGAGGATGGCCTGGATCCAGGATGCTAAGTTTGACAGGCTCTTTGATAGAGGCACCCTAGCTTCTGGCTCCTGTAAAGCCTAGGGTGGGCGACTGCAGTCTCCCCTGTAGCACATCAGCCTGCATCTGCAACCTTTGATTGATTGATGGCAAGGATGAGACTGGACTGGAGCCAGAACCAGACTGCTAACTCCAGCCTTGCAAACCTAGATGCTGTGTACTTGTTCTTCCACAAATACCCAGCTGGTCTTGAAAAAGATAAATGAAAATAAACTTATTTGTAATATTAGGATTAAAGTGTACATAATGTCACCACAGAGGTTAGATTTACTTCCTTCTACCCCCCCCCCCAAGAAAATTCAACTGGTTTCTGCATTTGAAGTATCTAGCTTTTGGACTTGGATATGCATTTGTGAAAGGGAAAATGTCAGGATGGGTCTTTCATTTCCTTACCAAAAATTGGTAGAGGAATAGCATCCTGAGAATCTTGTAAGCAGCTGACACTAGCTCTACAGTAACATGCCTAGGTTTGTGCTATCACAGAGTTAGGAACAAATGTACAGTTGTACTAAGATGGGATTGGAAAAGAAAACTTACCGTGCAGAGAAGGTAACATTTGAATTATGGCTAGTAAGTTTCTATTAGTGACCATCTAGGCCAACGGTTCTCAGCCTGTGGTGGTAACACTTTTAGAGTTCTAATGACGTTCAAGGGGTCGTCTAAGACCATTGGAAAACATACTGCACTACTATTCATACTTCATTACCATTATGAAGTAGCAACGAGAATACTTTATGGTTGGAGGTCACCTCAACACGAGCCACTGGAGCATGTATGTGACTGCTGCCACCAGAGCTGTGCAAGGGACTCTTAGCCGAGGATATCGGTGCACTGGAGCCACTGAGCCTGTGCAGGCCGCGAGGCTGTACTCACTGTGACCCTGTCTCTTTCCAGTTCAGCAACCTGTTGCAGTGGTACTCTAAGGAGTTCAAAGACCCTCTGATGCAGGAACCCCCGGTGTGGTTCAAGTCCTTCCTGCTGTGTGAGCTTGTGTTCCAGCTGCCTTTCTTTCCCATTGCAGCATATGCCTTCTTTAAAGGTTGGTACAGTGCGGGAAATCCTAGCTTTGCTCAGAAATCTCTTAGAGTGAACCCCTATAACTTGAAGGATCTGGTGTCCACTAGTATATATGTCACATCGAACATTAAACAAGGCTCAGTGAATATCCTGAGCTGGGCTGTCTCAGACATCTAAAAGTCCCTCCTATGAAACCCAAGGCCAAGGCCAAACTTGTTCTCTCTTATTACCCACTACTCACAAACATACTCTCTTTTACCCTTGCCTTACTTCCCACCGAGGTTATTATATTGCAGGAGGTGTCATGCTAATCCCCGATAGAGCTTAACTGCTCATCTAAAACGGGCTGGAGAGATGGTCAGCAGTTAAGAACACCGGCTGCTCTTGTATTTTTGGTTGTGAGCCACCTTTCCCAGCCCTACTAATTGCTCTTCTAAAGGACCGCAGTTTGGTTTCCAACACCCACATGGCAGCCTGTAACCATTCTGTAACTCCAGTTTCAGGAGATCCAACACCCTCTTCTGGCCTCAGGACACTAAATACATGCAGGCAAAACACAAAAAAAAAATGCCTACTTGTCATCATATAATTAGTGACTTCATGAAGTAGCCATGCCTCCCCTTGGAAACTAAGCTTACAGAGTGGAAAAGCTGAGGGAGGGTCCCTTCCCTCTGTTTTAGATCAGACTGGCTGAGCCGTTTGCTGCTTCAGTTTACTTACCGGGCTAGACGCCAGCCCTTACCCTCACTGGACTGGGTGGGTCCTGTAAGCTTGCCTGTGGAGCAGTGCAGCACCTGGTTTTCATGTGTATAGTGAGTTTCCACTAAGAGGAGACAGAACCATTGAAGTGAAAGGAGCAGATAAGCAGGGATGATGAGGCAGAGCGTGTCCCAGCCACCCTTGGAGTTGTCATACCTCCTAATTACCCTTTCCTCTCCCTCTGCTTCAGGAAGCTGCCGGTGGATCCGAATCCCTGCAATCATTTATGCAGCTCACACCATAACAACTCTAATCCCCATCCTCTATACATTCCTATTTGAGGATTTCTCTAAAGCTGCTGCCTTCAAGGGACAAAGACCTGGGAATTTCCGTGAACGACTGACCCTCGTAGGAGTCTATGCCCCTTATTTAATAATCCCCCTTATACTCCTCCTGTTCATGCTTCGGAACCCTTACTACAAGAATGATGAGAAAAGAAAGAAAAAATAAGGGACAGCCACTGGCCTGGTGGGGAAGATCCCACAGCATAGTTGCCTTTTGGACAACACAAGAAAACTGCTCTGAACCCGTGTCAACAGCATTTGAAACACCAACAACAGTGCACACGAACAAGATAGTGACAAGAGCCTTGCCACGCCTTCACCTTCCAAGGGCTGAACAGGCCACCAGCAGGGGTGTGACCAAGTTACAGCAAAATGGTGCCAAAGCTCTACCACAGCACTGCTAAAAGGACAGAAGAGAGAAGCCGGTTAGCTCCTGACCTAGATGTACACACTTGATTAAGTCCTCAACTCGACCTTGATAGTCGACAAACGAGCAGGATTTTGTCTCTTTAGCATCTTTTAACATGGTTTCCTGCCCACACCTCCACCTCTGGGAGAAAAGTTTATTGTAGCCTCATATGAGTCCAAGCCAGAAATGGGTTACAGTGGAAGGAAGGTACTCCAGTTCTGTCTTGAACAGACTGCCTGGTCTCTGAGTTATTCTGGTGCTAGTTCCATGAACCACTCTCATACATCCCTACTCTGGCATCTCACAACACTGGGCTCCCCAGTACACAGATTCGTCCTTCCCATTCTATCCAGTGAGGTTAACTATGACTGCCAGTGAGCGTGTGCTGTTTGTACTACTGGCTTTCCTTACCGGTGGGTGCTAGGTAGTGCTGGTTTGCTCACAAGCCATATTGCTGTGGTTATCACTGTCTGACTTGTATGTCCAGTCCAAATAAAGGTAGCTGCTCATCACTGCCTGGTTTGTTGTATGGATTGGGGGTGGGGTAGAAATACACAGCACCACGGATGAAAGACCAAGGCATTTGCAAATGGTATTTATTGCTTTTCCTCAAGAGCTTTGTGAATGTACAAAAAAAAAAAAAAAAAAAGTGGACCAAAGTTTACAGACACTTAGTTTGTGCTGAGAAGTCAAAGAAGTGAGGCCCTGTGCTGCCTGGCCACTAGCAGTGGCTATGCACTGTGTTTACCAGCTACCCCCTTAACACACTGCCATGACAAACATCAGTCAAATCACTGGAATGGTACAGAGGTTTGGTTTTTGTGTTTTTGATTGGGGTGCTTTTTTGCCTTCCTGATCTTAAACTGAAAATTTCAGTTCATTTCTGAAAAATAAATTGGTCAATAAATTCATTTTGTTCTGCTTCTACTTTACACAAAGCTTCATATTCAACCCGATACCTGAAAAACAAAATTGTTAGAAGCTCTGAAAAGAAGGAAATAAAACCACAATTCTTTGAGAGTATAGAGATTTAAACAGCTACAAGAAGCCATGAGTTGAGAATGAAGGCAGGACAAGAGTGTCAAATAAGCAAAGCCCTATTTAGGGCCACCCGGGAGAAACCTCTATCCCTAGGGAAGGCATGGGAGGTGGCCTCAGCCCTTGTTATAAGAACCAGTGCTCACACTATGGGAGGCCATTTGGAATTAACCAAGTCCCCATTTTCTTCTATCAAATTTTAAAGTCTTCAGGACACCCAGTGAGATGCTTTGCCTGGGAACTGGTGAGGAAAGCTGAGGTGGCAGAGAAGAAAAAGGAGAATTGGCAGTTTAACATGGCTGTTTACCTTTCTAGCTGCATCTTCTTTTCTGCTATCAGTGCCTGGAGTTGCTGCTGTTGGGCTTCTCTCTGCTTCGCTATGGATTTCAGCAAGTTCCGAGCACCAATGGCCTAAACAACATTACCAAAGAAGGTGTGGTTTTAAACTCATCTTAAGTCCTCCAAGGGAGAAAGGACATGGTTTTAATGGTTAGTCACTCGATGCCAAAGCACCTGGTGCAAAATGGCACGAGCAGTCAGGCCTGCAAGTGTAAGCAGTGGCCTATTGGGAGGCATCATTTAGTCTTGGGCCTTTTACCAAGTCATCTGTACCAGGCAATCTTTCATGTCTTCATTTTTAAAAGGAGGGTAAAAATACCCACCAGTGGTACCATGAAGATCAAAGGGGGCAGTAACAAGTGTGCACTGGCGGGGCTGGATAGATGACTCAGTGGTTAGGAGCACTGTTGCTCTTGGAGAGGAGCCAAGTTCAGTTCTGCCAGCACCTACATGGCAGCTTATGACCCTGTAACTTTGTTCCAGGGGATGCAGTGCCGCCTTCTGACCTCCAAGGACATGGGCACACAAGATGGTGCACATACATACATACATACAAGCTAAATAGTCACACATATAAATGAATATAAAACAAAAAACAGGACCAGAGAGATGGCTCAGTCATTAAAAGCACTATCTGTATTTCCAGAGGATCTGGGTTCAATTCCCAACACTCCCATGGCAGCTCACAACCTAACATTTCTAATTCTAGTTCCAGAGGATCTAACACCTGGGCTCTAGGTGCTGATGTACAGACATTCACTCACATTGAAATAAAGACTTTAAAAAATACTGGCATAAGAGCTCACCACATTAACTTGGCCAGCATCTCTTATTAAACACCTGTTTTAAACAGATGAGCCCACCATCCATACAATAAGCAGCAGGGTTTCTGGCCAGGACCAACTGCTGATCTTACCTTCATCTTCTCGTTTTCTGCTTCTTTGGCAAGCTGATCAACAAGCTCAATTAGGCCACCAACAATTTTCTGAAACTGGCCAATTTCTTTAAGGAAAACAAAACATTCTTGTTAGTATTCCTTGGAAGTAGGGAGGGAGGAGGTAACTACCCCTTTTAAATTGTGTTGCAGCAGCCTGATGCCCACTAACTTAAGCCTCCCACCATTTGGTCTATGGTGGGACAGGCGCCAGGGCTAGACTTTGAACATAGATTACAGTGTGGACCCAACCTTACCTGTCTCAGAAAGGACACTCAGAACACAAGTGCAGACTCTAGACTGGCTAGACTCAACAATGGGTTTCAGTAAAAGGTGGTGTGAGAATTCCCACCTATAACCATGTTATTTAGGCACCAGATTTCCCACTTGCTTTTCCAGTGCCTTTGGTATGCTGGAACCCTGTTTTATTTTATGAAAGTAAGTCTAGAGAAGGCCAAAGCATGCAGGAACCACTAAGCTAGGAATAGACATTAAGCTACCTGTCTCAAAACCATAGCCCAGTAATCTCTTACTTCAGCTGAGTGTATGACACAGGCCTGGAACCCCAGCATTAGGGAGGCTAAGTTAGGAAAATCATGTGTTTGAGGCCAACATACAACATACATAATCAGGCCTTGTCTCAAAAAAAAAAAAAAATTCCCTGGCTCTAGTCAAATCTGAATATTCCCACGGGTACTGGGCTGGCTTAGCCACCGGGAAAGGAGGCTTCTTAGAGATCAGTAGCCTAGAGGTCAGCACTGTGCTGAGCTGCTCCTAGAGACTCCACTCGCCACCTCTAACTCCAAACAACACATCCTGCCACCAACAAGTGAGGTCACAGTGTATCATTTCATCTCCCACCTCCAAGTCGTAATTCTTTAACATGAATGTTTTAAAGATTTAATTATTTATGTATATGAGTACACTGCAGTTGTCTTCACACACACCAGAAGAGGGCATCAGATCCCATTACAGATGGTTTTGAGCTACCATGTGGTTGCTGGGAATTGAACTCAGGACCTCTGGAAGAGCAGCCAGTGCTCTTAACCACTGAGCCATCTCTCCAGCCCCTTTAATGTGAATTTTAAGGTTGCTAAAAAAAAAAAAAAAAAAGAAAAAAGAAAAATCACAGCATATCTAAAAACACCTCCTCCCTCCCCCATCCAAAGCGTTGCTTGGAACTATGTGGGTCTCCATGGCAGTGTAAGAGGGCAAGCAGAAGGTGGGGTACACATGGGAATCCAGAGACCAGGCTCAATCCAGGGAACAAGCAGACCCAAGAGCAATAGTCAAGGTCGGGTAATGAAACTGCTCCAAGCAGACGACACCGAGTCTCCAAATGATACTCACTGTCCACAAAATCCTTGCACTCTTCCTTCAGCTCTATGGTTTGCTGGGTAACCTCTGGGTCCAACACCCGAAGCTTGTTCAGCTCATCAAAGTGCAGCCCTGCCTCGCCCAAGATGTCCTTGGCCATAGCTGCAGAGAAACAAGTCCCAACCAAAATTTCATCCCAGACACCCGAGATAATCCAGGCTCCACCCCCTTCCACAGCAATCCCCAGACACCAAGGTCAAGCCCTCCTTAAACTCCCCATCCCCTCTGCCTCCGGCTCTCAGCCTCACCTGTTTCCCTTCCAGGCTCCCTAGAGAAGTTCTGCTTTGAAGGGGTGATAGAGGCAATCAGGAGGTATGTCATAGGAGCAAGGGTCAGGAAAGAATAAAGTCCAGTTGCTTGTCACAGGCATCGTTCATTCAACATACATTTCTTGAGTGCCTACTACATGCCGACACTGCTAGATGCCAGGGTGTAAAGATGAATGCAACATGGTGCCTGCCCTGGAGCAGCACAGTTTAGCTGGAGGAAAACAGACAGGTAAACCTAAAAGACTATATTGCATTAAGTGATTTTACAGAACTATCACTAAGCAAGGAGAAAAGACAACAGCAGTTTAGCTGGATGCAATTGGCCTAAGCTTGGAGCCACAAGCGGAGTCATAAATCCCTGCTTATGTTCCCAAAAAGGCTTTTCAAATGCATGCCCTGAAATGACAGAAAAAAAGGAAAACAAAAAAAATCTGTATAAATTTAAAAATTAGAGTTAAAAGCTAGCTATGGTCATGCATGACTCTAATCTCAGCAACTAGCTGTGTCTCAGGAAGACTGACACACGTTTAGGACCAACCTGGGCTGCATACTGAGTTCCAGGCTATTCTGTGCAAAACAAGACCTTGTCCCACCACCCCCCCCCCAAAAAAAAATTGCCCACCTGTGTTTTTCTATTTGGACAAACAGTTTGAGTATTTAAGAGCTACCAGGGACTCACTGGACCAGGTACTATGGAATAGTTCGGATAATATGAGCATGCAAACACTTGTTTGAACTTCTACCACCTTCTGAATTAGCATGCATTTATTAAAAAACAAAAACCTGTTGAATCCCAGCTCCAAGGACAGAGTGAACACAGCATCTCCAGACAGACAGTAAGCAAATAAACACAAACTGGGATCAGAGTATGAGAATCAGCGCTCAGTGCTCTGTCAGGATTCAACAGGAAGAACATACCTCAAGTGGGCAGAGAGATCAACAAAAGCCTTCAGAAAAAAAACAATCTGAGACCTAAACATGTCCAAAAAAAAATCTAAGAGAAGGGAGAGGTGCATTCTTGGCATAGGGAAAAGCATATGGAACATCCTGAGGCTAGAAGAGTGACACAAAGGGTGCTGGGATCAAAACAGCAAGCAGTAGATTCCAGCAGTGCTTATCCATCAGAGTTGCAAAGATCACTGCCTTGGCCAAATGGAGGGAACAGGGAAGAGCAGCACAGAGGCGTACCTTCCAGATTTCTCACTGTGAGCCTACCTAGCATCTCTAAGCAGGCTGCCTGCAGGTAAGTGGCACTCTGATAATGTTTGCAGAATGAATGAATTCATGTGGAAACAGTAGGCTGTAACAGAAGAAAAGATTTGAAGCCGAACAGGAGTTCAGAAATCAATGATGTCTGAATTGACAGAATTTAGCAATGCTTAATGCAGCACTTTGGAGAAAAGTGAAGAAAAGAGCCAAACACGATTGCCATGAATCTGGATTGGACCGAGTGTATGGCCGGAAAGGACAGTTTAAGGAGATGGGCAAGGAGTTGCAGGGAAATGGTACACAGCGGACTGTCAGAGCCCCACCCCATCCCTAACTCCCCACCACAAATATGTTTCAGGGGACCTGGGATTGAGTTTCCTAAGCATGAGGGCTGTGCCTGGCTCTACGCTCCCTGGCTCTCCCAGGTCCGCAGGCACTACGAATAGTCGTAGGTGTGGGGTTTGGAGAAGGCGTAGACACAGTCAGAAAGGACTGAGCAAATGGCGTGGCTGTCTTTCTAAGTTATACTCCTGGAATGTCCGAACCTCGGTTCCCCAGTGACATCGAGGGAGCCACGCTCTCCGGCTGAGCTAAGTGTAAACCCGCTCCCTAAAAATTCCAGGGTGGGAAAACAGCCGCTTTCGACCCGGGCCTGTCAATCCTCAACGCCGGGTCACGTCGGCCTCCTCTCGTCCCAAGTCCAAGTCCCAGACTTTAAATCACGACCTACCTGCGGAGCCGTCTCGGCGGCGCGCTGCGGCCCGGACGACTGTCGGTAGAAGCTTCTCTCCGGTAACTGCAACCGGGGGCTGCCACCGATATAAGACCTATAAGCCACACGTCACCCCAGAGACCAGAAGCACTAGCACCCGCCCACTCCGCGGTGCTTGCTGGGAAATAGATGCAACACGAGATAACGGCCCACTAGGCCCAGAAGCCTTTGCGCAGGGGGCGGGGACTACAACACGGGAAGTAGATTTGTTCCTAAACTCGGAAGTAGAAGGAAGTCAAACTTCAGGTTTTCGACCCCACCGCTAGCTCGCGCGCTGTGCATGCCGGGTTTTGTAGTCTGTGTCCCGATCTGCAGGGCTGGGCTGTAGCTCCTGGGTCGGCGGGCGCAGGATGTGAGCTCACAGCCGAAATTGCAGGCAACCGCAGGCCAGGGGCGGCACGGAGTCCGCTTGCCACTTGGCTGAGAGGAGAGGCGCCTCCGCGGACGGTGAGAACCAGACGTGTGGGTGCAGAGGGGAACTACAGGCTCTGCCGAGTTCTGGGCAAAAGGCACGGGACGTCGCGCGGGGATAAAGTTCAGGTCTTCTGGGGATGGGAGGCACCGCAGATTTCAGTTTCTCAGAAGACGAGGGGTGTGGCGGGAGAGCAGCTTTCGCTGCCACGAGAGACTTGGGATGTTTCTCCATTTCCAAACAGGAGATCCTTTGGGTGAAACATAAGCGTCGCTTCCACGATTTCTGACCTTTCTAGCCAAAATCAGCCTTCCCACCTTCTCGCCGTACCTCGTATCCTTCCCTTAGGACCCCAAGTCTTTGGACTACCGCAATCGTTTGCCCTTTGTTCTGCTTGGCTTCGCATTAGGTTCCCATAGAGACACGTGTATGTATGTCCCCAGCCCCAGGATTACCCCTCTCCACAGGCAAAGTCCAGAGGAAAGAGCACTGAGACTATCAGTGGAAACTTCATCCTCTCAGAAATTTCTTTCTAGGGCGTCACCTGCCTTTGGACTCTTGGAACTCATTGGTCTGGGTGGAATCTGGTCTGACGTCATCTAGGACTCAAAGTGGCTGCTTTGTAGGAAAAGAATAGATTAGCTCCGGATTTGACTTCCTCAGTTGGCAAGCCTAGTCACTGAGTTTCTTTGATTTGGCAGAACGTGTTTATGTGCTTCCTTGATTCTGGGGAAATAGGGATTGCACACAAAGTATGTGAGGAACTTGCTAAAACTTGTTAAGGGGTTGATTTTTTTCCCCCTTTGAAGTAACGCACTCAGTCGCTCACCATTCTAGCATTCTAGTATTCCTGTCAGTCTCCCGGAACTCATTTCATCCACGTTCCATCACTGAAGCAAACAAGAAGCCATCAAAAGGATGTGCTACTTAATATAGCACCACCCTAGCCTTCTGACAACCCCCCACCCCTGACTATTCCAAGGACATACCGAAATCTTTTTAGGTTCAGTTTTAGTTTAACAAGCTGATATATATATTGAATACTTAAAAAAGAATGCCATTCTTGTTTGAGGACCAGTGTTCTGGGTTTTACCTATAAGACGGAGGAATAACAGGAAACGACTGAGCGATCCAGTGGTTAAAGAGGTTGGTTCCACTTTGGGTTTTGTTGTTGTTTCTGTCTCCAGCATTGCTTCTGTGGTCCAAGCCTGAATATATATATATATATATATATATATATATATATATATATATATATATATATATATATCATGTACATGCATGCAGCAGCACCCAGAAGACGGTGTCAGATCCCCTGAAACAGGATACAGATTATTGTAAGCCTATTGATTTGGGTACCTGGGTCTACTACAAGAGGAACATGCACATGTTCTTGTCCATGAGTCATCTCTTCAGCCTCTAAAACGTGTTTAGATAGGAGCTTCACTCTTTCTGTCTAGACTGTACTTCTCAGACCTTAGCTGAAATGTCATCTTCAATTGGTCTCATGCCTAAGCCTGATAATTCTCATGCCATTCCTGTATTCTCAGTGACATCAATCACCTCTATAACTGTCTGCCTCTTTGTTCCCTCGTTTATAGCGTGTCTTCTAGTCTGTTTTTGTTTGAGGTAGGGTCTCTCTGTGTAGCCTGTAACTTCCAGTGCTGGGATTAAAGGCATGTGCCACCATGCCCAGTTAGTCTGTCTTCTTCCACTGGCATGTGAGGTCTATGAGGCAGGACTCTTCTGTATTTCTTCTTTTCTAATCCCAGTGTTTGACACACAGTAGGAGCATAATAAATACTCACTTTATTTATTTATTTTTAATTCTTGTTGGGCTGAGGATGAAGTGAGCTTGCCTAGCATGTATGAAATCCTGGGTTTGAACAGTGTATTTATATGGTTCCTACTGCTTAATATAACAGGTTTCAAATAGTTTTGTTGTCAAGTGAATTAAATGAGATAAAATATATACACAATGCCTATAAAATTCAATGCCACAAAACTAAGCATGAAGTGAATACCTTTTTTTGGTGAATGGATTTTAGTGTTTTTATTTTATTTTTTTAAGTTAATTTATTTATGTTTGGTTTTTCGAGACAGAGTGTCTCTGTGGAGCCCTGGCTGTCCTGGACTTGCTTTGTAGACCAAGAAAGCTTTGACCTCACAGATGCCTGCCTCTGGCCCCCGAGTGCTGGGATTAAAGGTGTATACCATAAGCCTGGCTTGTTTTTAATTTTTTAAAGATCTGCTTTTTTAAATCTTATGTGTATGGGTGTTTTGTTATCTGAATGCCACATGTGCAGTCCCCATAAAGGCCATAAAATGGCATCAGATCCCCTGTTCTCCTCTGTGACTGGTGTTACAAATGGTTGTGAGCTGTTATGTGGTCTGGGAATTGAACCCGGGTCCTGTGGAAGAGCAGCTAGCTGGTGCTCATAACAGCTTAGGCATCTTTTCAGTATGTGACTTTTTATTACTACTATATTCTTTTTGTGTTTTAAAGGCAGAGGTTCTGCTATCTGGCCCAGGTTGACTTCTGTCTCATTCTGTCTTCCAGGCAGGGCTTGGATTTGAAGTCTCCTGGGGTGCTTGCTGGTATTACAGAGGTGCACCACCAAGAACCTAATAGTACCTAATGATAGTTGGGGTTGGTTGGTTGGTTGGTTGGTTTTTTCAGGCTGGGTCACTTGTATCCCAGGCTGGTCCCAGACTCTAGGTAGCTGAGGAACTCCTGATCTCCCCGCCTCCACCAGCCTATGCTTGGATTACAGGCACGGGCCATCCCTATCACATTTAGTTTACCTGCTGCTGGGAATCAAATCCAGAGCCTCATGCATGCTAGGCAAACATTCTACCAATTAGGGTACAACTTAGTCTTCTTTCTTTTTTAGCTGTGACAGGGTCTCTGTAGTCCAGACTGCCTCAGCCTTCCAAGTGCTGGATTATAGGTGTGAGCCACCATCCTTGGGCTGGTTGGTGAGTGGTAGTTTGGAAAAGCCAAAAGATTACAGCCAGGAGCAACGGCACTGTCATTTAGCCTCAGCACTCAGGAGGCAGAAGCAGGTGGATCTTTGTGAGTTTGAGATCAGCTTAGTCTGTATATCAAGGCCTAGAACAGCCAGTGCAACCTCATAGAGATACCTCTCATAAAAACCACTACCCCCATCATCATGTAATCATCCCTCCATGTCTGTGTGGCACTGACTCTAGTTTTTTTACAAATACCAAAATCTGAGAATGCTCAAGTCTTTTACATTAAATGCGGTCATATTTACAAATAATCCATGCATACACTCCTGAATTCCTTCTATCTTCTCTGGCTTACTTAAAATGCCTAGTACGATGTAAGTGTATCAAGTATGATATACAGTGCTGTACAGATAGTTGTTACACTGTGCTATTTAGGGATGGTAACCATGGTAAGTCTATATACTTTCAGTAAAAATGCAATCTTTTGTTCATTTTTGATAGAGGTCTGTGTGGTCTTAACTGTCCTAGAACTCCCTCTGTGGACCAGGCTGGCCTCAACTCAAGAGACTGACCCGCTCTGCCTCCTGAGTGCTGGGATTACACTTCCATACTCACCTTTTATTTAATTTTTGGATTTATGAGACAGGGTCTCACGATGTAACTTTGGCTGTCCTGGAACTCCCTTTGTAGATGAGGCTAGCCTGGAACTCACAGAGATCTGTCTGCCTCTGGTGTGTGCTACCATGCCCAGCTAGGACTTAATTTTTTTTTTTTTTAACATTTAGACTTCTTTCAATCTATATCCTACAGGTTTAGAATTTAGAATATAAATTGCAACAACAAAAACAGAATAAGATCTCATGTAGGCAGTGGTGGTGCATGCCTATAATCCCTGTACTCAGAAGGCAGAGGCAGGCGGATCTCTTTGTGAGTTTGAGGCTAGCCTGGTCTACAGAGTGAGTTCCAGGACAGCCATGGCTACACAGAGAACCCATGTCTTGAAAAACCAAAAAAGAAAAAAACTGAAAGCAAACCAGGAGGAAGAATCAACTTTCCCTTTAGTCATGTCTCAAGTCTCTGAACTGTTAATGTTTTCCTTTCATTTTTGAGCTTACTCATTTTTAGGGTCATCATGTGTGTTCTCCCCATTCTTGGTGGGAAGGAAGAAAAAGGGCTCTTGGGAAAAAGCAGCAAAATAGCCATCTCTGTTCTGCCTTGGGTTTTGTTGTTGTTGTTGTTTGTTTGTTTGTTTGTTTGTTTTTTGAGACAGGGTCTCTCTGTGTAGCTCTGGCTGTCCTGGAACTCATTCTGTAGACCAGGCTGGCCTCGAACTCAGAAATCCACCTGCCTCTGCCTCCCAAGTGCTGGGACTAAAGGTGTGCGCCACCACTGCCCAGCATCTGTTCTGCCTTGAAAAATGGTGACAATGACAGGAACCTGGGGCAAGGCTGGTGCCAAGAAAGGGGAAGGTCAGGAACCCCGGTGGGAGCTCAGGTAACTCCTGCCAAGCTCCCTGGCTGGCTGCCTTTACTGCCGGCCCTTCCCATGCTCTCTTAAATCCACACTCATTTTCCTTCCTGAATCCTGGCTTCCTTTGGACTAATGGTAACCTGAATCCTGAAGGGGGCTACTCCTGAGACAGGAAGTGCATCCTGTTTCCCTGGCTCCTGGGAAACTCCTAGGCTGGCTAGATTCCCAGTTGGTTAGTCTGGAATCCTGGGAATCTTGGAAAAACATTTTCTGGAGCCATTCTGGTGGGTCCCAGGGAGATCTGTTCATCTGACTCTTAGCTAGTCTTAAGGGTTTGCCTTGCAGCCAGGAGCAGAGCTGGTCCTAGAGGAGCTGGTGAGGTGACCAGGGAGACCATGTTCCCAGACCTGGCTCCTGGTGCTGTGCGAACAGTGTGGAGGCATTCTTCCTGTTGCCCAGTGTCCTAGAGAACAGTGTGGGGGCATTCTTCCTGTTGCCCAGTGTCCTAGAGAACAGTGTGGAGGCATTCTTCCTGTTGCCCAGTGTCCTAGTTTGTATTCTATTGGTGTGATAAACACTGGGACCAAAAGCAACTTGGGGAGGAAAGAGTTTATTTGGCTTACACTTCCCAGGTCATAGGTCTTTGTTGAGGGAAATGGGGAAAAGAACCTGGGGTTAGGAACTGAAGCCGAAGCTACAGAGGGATGCTGCTTACTGGCTTGCCAGCATGCCTTCTTATGCCACCCAGGACCACCCTCCCCAGGATGGTGCCCCCACCCCTGCTCCTCCTCAGTTATTAAGAAAATGCTCCCAGAGACTTGCTTCCAGGCCAGTGTGATAGAGGCATCTTCTCAATCAAGGCTCTTCTCCCAGATGACGTTAGCTTGTGTCAAATTGACAAGAATCTAACCAGTACACTGAGGAAGGGCTTATCTAGGAAGTAAACTGTGTCAGAGTTCCTGTTGCTGTCCCTCCTCCCTGTGACCTCTACTCTGCTGACTTCAGTGTTCTCTCTACCTTTTGCTTACAGTACTGAGAGTATGAGGCCCTGGCCTTTGCGGGCCCCTCATTTGTGACTACTTCCACCACGGCAGAGCCTTCCAAGCCTACCTCCTGCCGTGTGGTGATCTACCTGCAGCGGGAGATGTCAGGAGACACCTGTCTGTGCCCAGCCTCAGGGGCCAAGCCTAAGATAAGTGGCTTCAAGGGCGGCGGGCTGGGCAACAAGTATGTTCAGCTCAATGTAGGTGGCTCCCTGTACTACACCACAGTGCGGGCCCTCACCCGGCATGATACTATGCTCAAGGCCATGTTCAGTGGGCGAATGGAGGTGCTGACTGACAAAGAAGGTGAGACACTGCATCCGGGCATGCTGGGTAAGGGAGAGGAGGAAGGGGGCCTCCTGATCGGACTCCAGGGCTGGGCTTGAGCCCAATAGATCTAGAATATATATCTTTTCCTCTTCATACAAGTCTTAAAAGAGCTTCAGAATTCCTTGAAATTGTACTCAGACTGAGTATGGTTACATATATAACCCTAGTACTTGGAGGTGGGGACAGGAGGATCAGAAATTTGATACCAGCCTCCACTACATAATGAACCCGAGGCCAGCCTGGGCTATATGAAACCTTGTCTTAAAAAAAAAAAAAAGAAGCCAGGCGGTGGTGGTGTACACCTTCAATCCCAGCACTTGGGAGGCAGAGGCAGGCAGATTTCTGAGTTCGAAGCCAGCCTGGTCTACAGAGTGAGTTCCAGGACAGCCAGGGCTATACAGAGAAGCCCTGTCTCAAAAAAAACCAAAAAAACAAAAAAAAAAAAAAAAGAAAAGAAAGGAAGGGAGGAAGGGAGGAAGGAAGGAAGGAAGGAAGGAAGGAAGGAAGGAAGGAAGGAAGGAAAAGAAAAAGTCAAATAGAATCCCAGAATGCTTGATGCACATACTTGATTACAACACTTGGAGGTTGAGACAGGTCACTCTCAAATTTCTCAAATCCGGAACAACTTTCTCAAAGCTGACATATGTATTTACATCCGAATAGGATACGATTGTCATAAACACAGTAGAACCTGGGCAGTGGGCAAAAGGTAAGCAGAGACTGGTTGTTTTTGTATTACCAGGGTGGCCCGAGTAGTCCCAGCATTAGACATCCAATCCTCCACAGAGTCCTGAAGATACCAATTCCCAGACTCAGGATAGGGAAGAGCAGCACTGACACCTAGAGTCTCTGAGCCACCCCTTGGCTTGGGCTCTGGACTCTCCTCATATAGTTCCTTCCCTTGCATCCTGCTGCCTGCCTGCCTCTCTTGGGTGGCCTTCGCCAGCACTGGACACAGCTGGAGACAAACAGTAATCCTGTGGGACCCCTCTGAATCTCTAGGCTGGATCCTCATAGACCGATGTGGAAAGCACTTTGGCACCATCTTGAATTACCTCCGAGATGACACCATCACCCTCCCTCAAAGCCGGCAAGAAATCCAGGAATTGATGGCCGAAGCAAAATATTACCTCATTCAAGGGCTGGTGAACATGTGCCAGACTGCCCTGCAGGTACGGGGAGTGTTGGGTGGTTTGATGCCATTGGGAGTTGTCCCTCTGGGACATGAGGTCTGGCTCCTGGGAAGCTGTGTTGGAAATGAGGTTGATGTCCAGACCCAGTCAGAACGATGGGGAGATGCCCAGGCCCAGCAGACTGCTGCTAGGGATTCAGGCTTGGCAGCACGAGTGGGCTGTGCCTCTAGATAGCAGCTTCAGTTTGCTGGCAGTGGGGAGCTGCTTCCTGGCTGATCAAGAACGTCATGAACTGTCTCGTACCTCCTTACTAGGCAGGGGGTGACTGTGGCAGAGGCCTGGGGATGTACCTGGTTAAGCTTGACTAGCACAGAATCCTAAAGGCAGCTCTCTGCTCTGTGTTTCACCCAGGACAAGAAAGACTCCTACCAGCCTGTGTGCAACATCCCCATCATCACGTCCCTGAGGGAGGAGGACAGGCTCATTGAATCCTCCACAAAGGTGCTGGGTACTCTGAGGGTCTGGGCCCAGGGCCACCAGGCTCCTGGCCTAAGCCTTACTCTTCCTTCCCTCACAGCCTGTGGTGAAGCTGCTGTACAACAGGAGCAATAACAAATACTCATACACCAGGTATGGCAGGCATCTTCTTCGCAGGGGCCCTGGGGAGGCCGGCAGAGGCAGTTAAGAGGGCTGAGCACCCAGGGCGGGCACTGTGCAGCAGGCCTGAGGGATTTCACGGGATTCCAAAACGCACATCATGGGGCTGGGTTTTGAAACCACCTTTGCTACAGGTGATGCACAGGGATAGAAGGGAGCTCAGGGTAGAAGAGACATTTGGGATTTGTTACGTAGCCTGGTTGGGATGTAGATGTTAAAACATGAAACATGCCTGTGTCATATCAAGAGCATGCCAGGAATTATCATCTCTATTGTCTTAGGTACCAGATGGATCAACACCTACTTGATAATAGATACTGCCAGCTAGCCTCATAGTGGGTAAAGAGGGATTCTAGGAAGCTATGGGCTGAGTCCTGGCGCCTGTGCTTCTCACTGCGCCCTCACAACAGGCCATGGTTAGGCAGGCCCAGGCAGCTGCAGCTTGGTTCTAGACTGTCCTGGTCCCTGGTGGACAATGCATCATCCCATGGCAAAGAAGGAACGCTGTGACATTCGTACTGAGAGACCCTTTCTTCCAGGCTTACGGAGGGGTCACTTCGTTCTCTCAGTGCTCTCTGCTGTAACTGAGAGCCAGATCCACTCCCTTCCCTCACAGGCCCCAGTCCCACAGGTTGCTCTCCACCTCCCTGTCCCTCTGCCTTATCTTCATTTCGACATGATAGGACCAGGGAGCAGAGAACCTAGCGCCTCCCAACAGCCTACTTGTTCTGGAACCTCATTGCAGGCCTGCTGGCCTTCTGGTTTTTCAGCAACTCTGACGATCACCTGCTGAAAAACATTGAACTGTTTGACAAGCTGTCCCTGCGCTTCAACGGTCGCGTGCTCTTCATCAAGGACGTCATTGGTGATGAGATCTGCTGCTGGTCTTTCTATGGCCAGGGTCGTAAGCTGGCGGAAGTGTGCTGCACCTCCATTGTGTATGCCACAGAGAAGAAGCAGACCAAGGTATGTAGGGCTTTCCCTTGCCGGGGACAGATCACACAGACTCCAAGATGGAGAACTGGTACTGCCCACAGCAACAGCAGGGCCACGTGTACTTTCCCAAATATGGTATGATGGTGCCAGGTAGGACAGAGCCCGGACAGAGAGGTCAGAGGATGGTCAGAAACTGTCAGCAGCTGCTGAGGAAAAAGTCCACTGAGCAGCAAAGAGCTTTCTGGTACTGGAAGGACCAGGTCTTTGAAGTCACAACTCAGCTTTCAGGTCTGGTCCCAGCTTTTCTCAAATGTCTGACTTTGGGGAGCCACTTAAGCCATGTTGATCTGTTTCCCTGCTTGCAGACATGGGAGTGAGTCTGAGTAGCCAGTACATGGCAAGGTACAGCTCAGAAGCAACAGTGTGGTGTGCTTTCCACTTCCACACTGCTCCTGCAGCCAGGCAAGTGAGCATGGTGTTCCTGGTCAGCTGCTTCCTAAGCCGATGGAGTGAATCACAGGGCCCCATGAGCCTTTTATGTATTTTTTTTTAATTTTTAGTTAATTTATTAATTTTAATTCTTTATTTTTGAAATAGGGTCTCTGAAGCTCAGGCTGGAGCTTGCTACATAGGCTAGGTCAGCTACAAATACATGACATTCCTCCTGCCTCAGCTCACTAGTACTAGGGTTGTAGGCATAGTCCACTATAGTCAACTGCGGGAATTACTTGATAGGGGACAGTGTACATAGACTCAGCTCCTCCCTTTCTGCACATGTCAGCAGGTGTCCTCCCTAGAGTATACACTTGGAGACAGCAGGGTTTTTACTGTGTGGAATGCCACACAGGTTATCTGGAAAGTGATAGGAAGAAGGGCTCAAGCACTGAGCTCCAAGAAGCTTAGCCGTAGACTGCTACCTGGTCTCCTGAGGGTTGTCACAAGGCAGCTAATATGAGGTGGCAATCTTTGGCAGTGGGTGTAGGGGCAGGAGAGGGGGGAAACCAAGAGTTAGCCAAGGATCTGTGACAGTGGAGTCAGGATCCAGCTCCTGAGCAGCAGCTGAGCAGCGGCAGAGGTGCCAGGGCCTGTCTTCTTCCTAGATGCTCTCTCCCTCTCCCTCATACTCCAGATATGAGAGAGGCCCAGCTGGAGCCATTCTCGGTCAGAAAAGCAATGAAGTGGCTTCTCAGAGCTGCTCCTTTATGTCATTCATTTTTGTTGGTGGGTGTACACTGCCATGGCATGTGAGTGAAAGACAGGACAGCTTGAAGAGCTCTCTCCATTTGGGTTCCACCATTTGTGTCCCGGGACCAAACTCAAGTTGTCAGGATTGGTGGCAAGCACCTTTACCCACTGAGCTCTCCTCTCTGCTCCTCCATCCCTTTTTTGAGACAGGATCTCACTAGGTGGGCTGGCTTCAAATCTCCATCCTCCTGACCTCAGCCTCCCAGGTAGCAGGGATTATAGATGGGCATCACCCAGCCGGGCTAAGCAGATGCTTTCTATTATGTGTTTGGTTGTTTACTGTGTTGGGCTAGTCACTGGCTAAAGAATGTATGTCTTTCTTGCTATGTTGATAACTCTTAAGAGGTGTTAGCTCAAGTCAGCGTACCTAGAATCATAGTGCTTAGAGGACTAAGGTAGGACTCCGATTCTGGGGCAGTTTGAACTATAAGGAGACCCTGTCTCAAAAAAAACAAAACCAAAGAAGGTAGCTATTGACACCACTGTACACATACAGAAAGCTCAGGCTCAGTCTGGCACCTAACATGGAATTGTTTGTTCCTGGACATGCCCATGCATACTAGTCTGCAGTTGTGGGATGGTGTAGGGTAGCCGGAGGTGTCGATCTCGTCTCATGTTCCCTCATGCTTCCCTTGTTAGCCGGGCAGCCACCTGACTCCTCCGTTAGGTGTTTCCTCACTAAATGAACCTCACTCTGTCTTTTCTGTTCACTGCAGGTGGAATTTCCAGAGGCCCGTATCTATGAGGAAACGCTCAATGTCCTGCTCTATGAGACCCCTCGAGTCCCTGACAATTCCTTGCTGGAGGCCACAAGCCGTAGCTGTAGCCAGGCTTCCCCCAGTGAAGATGAGGATACCTTTGAACTACGGGACCGTGTCCGTCGCATTCACGTCAAGCGCTATAGCACTTATGATGACCGGCAACTTGGCCATCAGTCTGCTCACCGTGACTGAGACCCTTAGGAAATCAGGGCACAAGAAGTCCTATCTGCCACCCTGTGGAACATACCCATTGGCCACCCTATGCTGCTCCTGCTAGCTGGGAGCCTGCTCTAGCGTTTACAGGTGATAGCCCTGCTTGGGAGGTCAGGGAGCTAGGAAAGGCCACATTGTCTTGCTTGGTCCCCCTTCCCCAGCACTTCCAGAGGCAACCCCACTTCCTGCCAACAGGGAGCTACTTCTGCTCTAGGGTGAGTGCACTGACTTCCCACCTCCTGCCAAGAACACTCCTCGGCCCTTAGCTGAGTGCCCTTTCTTCTGAAGAGCTCCTTTAGTTCCTCAGCTGAGATCCAGGGGAACAGCTCTGTTCTAGAGGAAAGGAGGCTTCTGGTGCTGTGAGGACCCATTTTTGAACAAAAAAGGCAGCCTTTTTTTTCCTAAGCCATTTAAACATTGGCATGACCTGGATTTTTGTTTTTAAATCTAGATGTTAGCATGGTGGCCGTGCCTATAATCCCAGCTATGAAGAGGCCAAGGCTGGATAACAAGTTGTAGGCTAGCCTGGACAACATAGCAAGACCCTCAATATAAAATTTTAAAAAGAGGGCTAGTGGCATGACTCAGTGGTAGAATACTTGCCTAGCAAGAGTGAGGCCCTAGGTTCAATCCCCAGTACTGCCAGCCTCACTAAGTATCTAAGAAACGACTAGTTTCTAGTCTGAGGGAAAGGCTAGGACTAATGTCCCCTGCAGAATGCCAGGACCCCATCTAGCAGGCACACACACTTATACTCTCACCCCACCCTTTTCAATATCTTAGGACCCATCTTTAAAGCACTTTACATGTCTATCATTCAGGAGAATCTACTATGCCTTGACCCAAAGCTTTTTCTGACACTGATCCCCGCCTTGCAGAATCTGAAGGAAAGGCTGAGACAGGAGGGTCACAAGTTTGAGACCAGCTTGTGCTATGTAGTTAAAGTTCCAGGCAAGCCTGGGCTACATAGAAAGACTTTGTCTCAAGAAAAAAGTAACTAAACTAACCAGCTTTGGCTTGTCAGCTTGACTAGCCAGCCCAAAGAATACCAAGAGGGAAAGGATGTCCAAGTTGAAGATGGTTTTAACAGCATCCTGTGGGGAAAGATACCCTCACCCCTACATTGTAGTGTCATATCACCGACTCAGATTTAACAAGATCCTTTGGTCTGAGCCTCATACTTGGGTACGGTCAGCTCTAAGACATGCTGTCTCCACAAACCTTAAAGCCAGAAGCAGTGATGCGGGCCAAAAACAAGCTGCAGAAGGCTATGGAGCCATCAGCTGAAGCCAGAAAACTCCTGGAGCCCCGTGCTGCCAGCAGTGTCCACAGCTGTGGTACAGCCCAGACAATGTCTCGGTTAATGTTCTGGCTCTGGGTTCTGCCTAGTGATGAATCTCCAAATACATAGTAACTCACAACCTAAGCCTTTCAAAGGCCTTTCTTTTGGGTCACTGACTGTAGAAGTACCAAGATCTAGACCTGGTATAAAGTCTTCCTTTGGGCTTTGGTTTCCCTCCCCTTCTTTGCTGGGATTGGCCTCCTTAACTGGTTTCTTTCCAGAGGAATGTTGTCACTTGAGGGGGCTGTTTGTAAGTCTAAGGAAGTGTGTGACCATCACAGAGTGCTCAAAAAGGAACACAGATTGTCTGCTGTATCCCTTGACCACTCTTACGATTGCCACATGGGCACACATAGCTCGCCTCTTAGAGCCTATGGGCAGATGCCAAGTTCAGGGTTGGGCTCTCATGAGGCTCTGACATGACAGAGCAGAGGAAGTGGAAAATGTGACGTAGTAATCAGGCATGTTATGTTAATCACAGTCTTGAATGTATAAATATCTCTAAGATGCTTGGGTCAGGCACCTTAGTGATGAGCAGCTACTAGTTCTTCCAGACCTCACTGGAACTGAGATGACAATCCAGTTTTTTTGTTTGTTTTTTTTGTTTTTGGCCAAATATAGGCTTTGAGTCTTTCCCCCAGATGTTGGAATGTTACAGTGTGAGGCCACCAGTCTGTTTTCTCAGCTGTCCCTGAGAAGCCCTTCAATATTCAGATTCCCAGCTCCCTGCTGTGGTTCCAGTTTGTCCCTTTACCTCCACGCCCCCTTTAGCCTCTCTGGTGCTTTGACATCCATTGCCTCTGCTGTCCAGTGCTGTCTAGTGTTGGGCTGAGAAAGCCCAGCAGCAGGAGTCCCGGGTTAGACATTCATCTTCTTTGACAATTTCTCCTTGGTTTAAGGGAAACACTAATCCTGAAGTGATCTGGACTTTGTGGCTTATGGGTTTGTGGGATTTCCCAGTCCTACGGTAGTTCTGGCAGGGATGGTTTTTTTGTTTTTGTTTTTTGTTTTTTTTTTTTTATCATAGGCTGCCCAGGAGAAGAACATGGCTGAGGGTCAGACTGGAAGCTGCTAACACCAGCTATGTGCTCTGTTGAACCTGGGATGTGACTGGTCGGCCTGAAGGGTAACACAGGCTCTGGCACGAAAGAATGTGTCCTTTATTACATACTCTTAAGTGATAGAAGTAAACACTAACTTCTAATAAAATTGTTTTACACTGCTGAGCCATGTTTTCAGTGAGTAGCACCTGGCCAGTTCACAGCTGTGGGTTCAATTCTTGAATTTCTGTTCCCTCCATGACCTTGTGTTCTAGGTAGGTCAAGAAACTCATTCCTCTGTAGTCCTACAGACCCACACTCCCCCTGGTGGAAGATTGAGAACAATACAAGGACTGGAACTGAGATTTAATAATGCAAGAATGAAAGGACCTCTAACAGCAACTATAGTAGTGAAGGAATCCTAAGAACTGGGGCAAAATGCAGCCCAATTCTCTGACTCCTGTTGACCTGAAAGAAGCTCCAAAAGCGGCTTGGCTTGGTCACTGACCATAACTTAAGCTACTTCTTGGCTGAATTCCTGCACTTGTGGTCTGGATGCATGACAGACTTTGCTCAATGCTCAGAAGCCCACAGCTCCAGGAAACCTGACTGGTTTTACCTCACTCTTCTCCAGGTCTAGTAAAGCCAGGAGTGCTGGTGGGTAGTCCCTGTTTATAGTCAGGTCAGTCCAACTCTAAATGCTGGCCTCCTCTACACTGGGCGGAGGGTAAAGAGACTGAGAACTTAGTCCAGTGCTGTCCACTGTTAACCAGTGCCCCCAGGAGATGTCCAGCCTCTGAGGAAGACACACGCTAGCAGAGCCAGCAGCTCTCTAGAAGAAATTTTGCATGGAAAGCAATTAAGAGTCCCTATAGGGCCAGCAGGGGGCCTGAGACCCTGGAGACAAAAATGGCCATGGTGGCCAAGGAGCACTGGTTTATTGACCACACCTCACATTCCAGAAAACATGTGACATCTGAACACAGTTCCCTGACAGCTTTGCTGGAACATGGTGTAGGCAGAGCCTGGGCAGGGGCCAACCTTGGAGGAGTCTTATGTGGGTCTTCCAAGAAAAGTTATAATCTCCCTCCAAAAAAAGAATTCCACAATAGGGAGACGTTTAGAGTTCTGCAGCAATTATGGGTAGAGCTGTTGTTCTTGGGGCCGGCCTCGGCCTCAGCTGGCCTACCAGTGTAGGCCTGAGGGTGGTGTCTTCTCATCTTTATTGCTTTCCAAAGAGAAGGGTGGGATCCGGACATCAAAGTGGGAACCATCAGGTCTCTCAAAACGAAATGTGCCCCTAAGGATTGGAGAAGCTGGTTTAGAGGGAGTAAGGTCTGAACTGAAAGGCCTCTTGAACTATGTGGCCCCATGTCCTCTGATGGAGCCAGAGCTGGATGAGGAAGGCTGGGATTATAATCTAAGCAGAGATCCAAGAACCTCTGACCACACAAAAAAAAACAAACAGCTAATCAGATTCTGCCACTTATATAGTACATATCTAAGTGGCCCACTGTACTCAAGATTAAGGGGGAACCCAATTATACTAGCAATTGAGTCTCAAGTCTTAGGACCCAAGTCCTTAGGCCAAAAATTGTCATAGAAACAGACAGTACCACACAGCAATGAATAGCACCCATCTGTGCACATCCCAGGACCTTTGCTGAACTGACCAGAAGTTCAGCTTGTTAAGGTTTTTTGTTATTGTTGGCATGAGCCAAAATAGAGTCTTACTATGTAGTTCAGGTTGGCCTAGAACTCATAAACCTACCTCTGTCTCCCAAATGCTAGGACTGTAGGTATACAACTACCACACCTAGCTCCAGCTCACTTTACTAACTGGCAGTTTCTGTGGAGTTGAGCGACATATAGTCCAGCATACACTCACCACATGTGCCCACTGGAAGCTTGCAGAGAGACATGGCTGCTATACTGGAATGCAGGCTGCTCCTTGGATAACACTGGTTCCTAAAAGAATTCAGGCAAAATGGATCAGGCCAAGCCCCAGAAATATTCTCTGCACCCTGGGGCCACCTTGTGTTGACCAGATGCCTCCTTTCACCCAAGCAACCATGATGGCAGACACGTCTACAGTGACCATCTTTCAGGACTTCCTCCCACATCATGGCCAATGACCATTTTATTCTGTCTCTAGGAAAAGGAAACAGGGCACCAAGGGATGAGTGCTAAGCAGACTTTCTTTGAAAACATCTTAACCAACATTCACTCACACAAACAAGTGCAGACACAACAGCAGGCCCTCTGCCTGCTGATCTTATTCTCTTGGTGACCATGAAGTACTATTTGTGATCCCTAATTTAGCAGTAAGAAACATTGGGTCACATAATTTGCCCAAGCTGGGTATCAAAACATACATCTTTGACCCCAGTACTACGAAGGCAGAGGCAGTAGGATCTACAGGCCAGCCTGGTCTACACAGAGAAACTCTGTCTCAAAAAAACAAACAAAATGAAAAAAAAAAGTCCAAAATTATAGAATATATAGCTGGAATTTGAAGGCAAGCCCTGTTTGGGATTTGTTTTTTTTTGTTTTTTTCCCCTTCCAAAAAACACGTAGTTCAACCTGGCCTCAGACTCACAACAATAATCATGCCTCAATTCCCAGTGAACTGGATTATGGGTGTGTGCCACACACCCAGCCCAAGCCATGTTTACTTGTCCCTACTTTTCCAAGTGTCTTCTAACAAATATGCTGGATGACACTAATATACTTGTGACCTTATCTCTCTAGAGACAGGGTAGTATAGCCAAGGAACATAAAATCAAATCAAGAGGGGCTGGAGAGATGGCTCAGAGGCTAAGAGCACTGACTGCTCTTCCAGAGGTCCTGAGCTCAATTCCCAGCAACCACATGGTGGCTCACAACCATCTGTAATGAGGTCTGGTGCCCTCTTCTGGTGTGTCTGAAGATGGCTACAATGTACTCACATACATAAAATAAATAAATCTTTAAAAAAAAAAAAAAAAAGGAAAATCAAATCAAGAACCAGTAGATGTATAAATGCAAGGAGATATGACACAGTTGGTGCATGCTCCAGAATTAGAGTGCTTTTGTTACTGAGGTGTTTAATTCTGTGTGTGTATTCATTCATGCACATACATGCAACTTGTCTGATGTATGGAAGTCAGAAGATAACTTCAGGGAGTTCCAGGGACCAAACTCGGGTCAGCAGGCTTGGCAACAAGCAGCATCTTTACCCATAGAGCCATTTTACCAGTCCATATTTTTGCCTTTTTTTTTTTTTAAACAACAGGGTCTCACGTAACCAAGGCTGATTTCATTTTTTTTTTTTTGTAGCCCAAATATGGCCTTACATTTCTGATCCTTCTGACTCTTATTTCCTTTAAGTTCAAGCCTTTAAAAGACATTCCACTTGGGTATGATGTAGCTAAAGTGTTTGCCTAACATGCATAAAGCCCTCAGTTTGACCCCAAGTGTTAAGAGTGGGGCAGAGGAGACATTTTAATGAGACATGCTACTCAACAGTAAGTACTTGAGCTTTGGGGCTGCAAAGAGAGCTCAGCAGTTCAGAGTACTTGCTGCTTTTGCAGAAGACCAGGTTTCCAGAGGAATGTGTTTCAAAGACAGAGATTCAAGGCAGTCAAGGATGACCCTAACCTTCCAAAGTGCTAAGATAACAGGCACAAAAACCATGCTCAGTTAATGCAGTGCTGGGGTCAAATTCATGCTGCAAGGTAGGCACTCTACCAACTGAGCTACACCCCCAGCCCCTTATTAATTAATTTCTAAGCCTCACCCTTCATCTGTGAAATGGGTTACAGACAATCTGCCCTACACGGCTGTTGTAAGATTTCAAACCACACACAGGAACACATACACACACACACACACATATACATGCGTGCACATGCACACACACAGGAACACACTGTTCATAGCAGAGAGGAAGAAAACATACCCGAAGTTCCCAGGCCTGCTAACAGGACCTGAAACTAGGCCATAGTGGCCCAATGATGTTCACTCACCCTGCCCACCACCCCTCGTCCTCGAACTGTTTCCAAAGTCCCTGAGAGACTGAATATCCGCCAGTGCCGCTCCCGGAGCTGTACTACATCACTGTCCAAGTTCTCCAAGCGTATGCAGTAGCGCCACTGTGAGGGAAAGAGTTTGTGTTTGAGGAAGAATGGTCCTTGGGCCAGCCCATCCAGAATTCCAGAGTAAAAACCAAGAAAGGCTGATATCTACATCTTAACTGTGTGGATGGCTGCATCCACCCTGCCCAAGAGGCTAGTGCTGTGCCTCCCTCCACACCACCCCCAGACCCTTCCTGAGCTCTAGCCAAGGGAGACACTCACCCAATAGACGTGGGAATTCTGGGCTTCCTGGAGGGGGGAAAAGGTTTGAGGATGAGACTTAAGTCTGTTCCAATCAATATATCTCAAGTGAAGTATTCCTGGAAAGCGGCAGAGGCTGATCAAACTCTGAATGTCTGGAGCCAATGATGAATCTGATAGAACTATGGCCAAGAATCTCCCTGTTTCCTTCCTGTTCTTCCCCCTCTACAATCCTGTCAAAATCAACAGAGCTGGATGCTAGCAGAAATCCACTACAGGGTTCTGTCGTCACCATTGTCCCTGGCAGCCCTGTCCTCCCCACAGCCCTTATTATCATGCTCTGATGGATGCTGACACCCCAGGTCTGAGTGCTAATAGGCAGGAAGTCTTCCATTTATACTTGAATCTGCAGGCCTAGCTTAGAGTGAGGCAAGACACAGATCAGTAAATACTTGGCTACGAAATACAAAGTCTGACAATAATCCACACTGATTTAGGCAAATATGTATATATTTCTCACAGGAAAGATTCCCTCTACCAGAGGGGAGATGGAGTGGCACGAAGAACTACTTCCTGGTCTATGGGTTTCTAAGTCATGGTGCTGGCCATTATCAAGAGGCTACCTCAACTCTACACATGAGCACTTGAAAGCAGAACCGTGGGGAAGGTTTAGGTTTAGATACATTCCCACCCCCAACCCTTTAGTCACATTGGGGACACCACACTGAATCTGGGGCTAGTCCTGCAGGAAGAAGCCCAGGCTAGCACACACCCTCATGCCCATGTAAAAAGGGATGACTGTGACACGGATGTTCTCAGTAGTTTCCCGGTGCACATCAGAGAGCTCTAGCCATGGGTGATTTTTCTCTT